TATCTGCACACAGCACATATCAATTGTGAGTCTTCAATCAAGCATTTCTCTAGACATAGATAAAAATATACCAAGCAGGTTTCTCAGATTATGGTGACTTGATTTGACTTAATATGCTCATGTACAAGTTGCATTGCATCATTAAAAGTATGGAAATATTTTTCATGTCAGTGTTATCAACCGAAAGGAAAGGGACCCTGATAATCTGTCATTGAATTGTTCAACAATGTCAACAATGTTTTGCATTTTATGTTTACTTTTATACATACAAATTGTGCATTTTCCTATATTTTTAATCAAATGAAGATCAATTCATGAACTGACTTGTTGTTATGCTACATTGGCTATCATAAATTAATAAGTTTGAAAAATGCCTTGCTTTTGTGAATGTCTGGACTAATAATAAAATGCTAACAATGTTGCTAATGTGAATGGTTGAGTTCATAATAAAATGTTGAACTCTCAAACAACAGTCATATTACTTGTACTTCCTATTGAACCAAAATGAAGTACAAGAATGCTGAAATAGTTTCTGACAGCTTCATGATGTTCAGTTAAATCATATCTGACAGCAATATTTCTTGTTATAAGACAACCCTGCATACTGTCTTCTTTGAGTCCGTAAGGGTTGATCCCGATGGTCAGCTCAAATTTCTCCTTATATCTATCCTTTATGTCAAAAAGTTGCTTCTATGAAAGGTTGAACTTATGATTACACATTAAACTCTGTAAACTATAACTGTTATTATCCAGTGAACAAGAAAAATGAAGTACAAGATAACTGAACTAGCTTCTGACAATTCCACGATATTGGGATAAGTCAGGATTTCTCGTCTTTGGACTGTCCTGAGTTTATATGGGTTGATCCCGCTGATCAGCTGTAGTTTTCACATGTATATACACTCTTCCTTTTGGTGTACTTGATCGCGATATGAATTTTAGTTTATTTTATTTGGTTTACCTATATTTACGCTACTAATCCCCGTCGTTCTTTCCCTCCAGTATGGCTGCTGGACTAGTGTTACGGAGCAAATATGACGTCACTGTAATGGGTTAATAGGAAGCCATATACTGGCAATCTTACTTTGACCTTGAACTTGACCCTTGACCTACTCTTCACCATGAACTGAACTTTGCAATTTTTCTGTTCCTTATATCTTCAAAACTTGCAGAGATACGCCCATACCCGGTAGTTTCTATTGAACTTGAATAGGAAGTCCTATATTGGCAATATGTGACCTTGTACTTAACCCTTGACCTACTTTTCACCATGAACTGAACTTTGCAACTTTTCTGTTCCCTATATCTGCAAAACTGGAAGAGATATACCCACACCCGGTAGTTTCTATTGAACCTGAATAGGAAGTCCTATACTAGCTGGCAATGTGTGATCTTGAACTTAACCCTTGACCTACTTTCACCATGTACTGAACTTTGCAACTTTTTCATCCCTTTTATCTTTAAAACTGACAGAGATATGCCCGAAGTTACTACCTGGAGGCGGTATCATCTCTCTGATCCTCTAGTAATTAAAAGGGAATCAAACGAGTAAAAGGATAGGAAGTAATTGAGTGTAAGTTAAATTTCTTTAAGAGCCAACGAGTGTAGAAATTGTTTTCGTGGTAGGTAAAGATGGAAAATGTCAAAGTCACAGATAGTTCTATTTAATTGGTTAAATTCTCAATATATATTGCAAGTTTCTGACATGTGTTTGACACGTGCAAACTGAGGATGGATATGGCCCAAGCATGAGTAATTCAAATAATATTTTTAATATTTTTAATTGAAAACAAGTCTCTTATAAATTAGAGGTGTTTCACAGGTGTGCCACGTTAACGTACATGTATAAACACACCATTAACATTTTGCAATTAGTGTTTCACAGGTATGACGCAGATAGGGAATAGATTTCTGCACAGAGATCACAGTGGCGTATTGAGGGGGGAGCAGGGGGGGGGGGTGCTGACCCGCCCCTTCGATTTCCGAAAAAAAAATATTACACCAGTGGTTCCCTCTTGAAATTATAATTTTGACTAGCTGAATCATAGTTCTGAACCGCACCAAATGGCACAATTCGCCCTCTAAAATACCACGCCAAGGGAGGGGGGTCGGCTTCGTATCTGCGCCCCCCTTCAAATAATCCCAGATCCGCCCCTGATGTATTGTAGCATTTTTTAGCATGGCATTGACGATATTTTGCTGAATTGGTGCACTCTAGGCATAATGACCATGGGCACATTTACGGACGTGAAGGATTCTTTTTCTTATTTCTTTTCAATATAATGTATATATATTTTATAATTTTAAAGCTTAATTGTGATTTGTTGATTATAACAAAAGATACTGACACGAATTGCTGAGTAACTACAAGGAATTTTTACTGGAAAAAAAGTACCCCCACTCTTATAGTTCCGCCAAGCCAATGAAAACGCTAAGCCATTTTGCATAATATTTTAAAGTTTTTTTATTTCAAGAAAAATAAACTGCCATTGATGTATTCTCATATGTTCAAACATCTGCTTGTTAAAGATTTATAAAATATTTTAATCACAGTAAGTTTTGAATATTCAGATATGTAAAACAAAAATATTGATATCTGCATTAAGACTACCTCAAGTTTGATTTGCTAATTAAACTATCTAATGAAGTACTTGACTGATGTTTGATCTTGTTATGTTTTAACAAAAAACAATGGGAGATGTCATAGCTGTCTCACCCCACACTACCGTAGGGAAAATTCAAAATAGTATCACTCTGAATTTTAAACGTCACAAAAATACTCCAAATTGCCAAGCATTTCATGATGTGATACCCTAGCTGCCATTGCTTTTGCTTCGTTTTTACCATAAGGTTATTTCAGGCCTACAGGCCAAGAGTACATCAATTGAGTTCTATTTATAATAATACTGAGCTGACTACACAGGAGTATATATATCATAAACGACACAAATCACTTATCTAAAAAAATCATCTCTTAATTTCTCAGCATGATATATGAAGGCCCCAAGTCTTTTTATAAAGTCAACATTATGTGATGACAGAGCAGTCGCTAGTGACAATGTTGTAATCTAGGGAATGTAGCGCGTTCCCTCAGACCGTTATATAAATTACATGACATTAACACGTGTTCCTCATTTTCAATAATAGTAATGCCATCAGAAAGGCATGCATGCACATACTCTATTTTCCCCATCTACACTGGCATACCGACCCTTCTCAACCTGTAAATTGTGGTTTGATATTCTGAACTTGCAGTAGGCTCTTCTATGCTCTGCTATGGACACAAAAGATAAGTATTCCTCAAATACCAAATCTAGTTTAAATGAGCTGTAGGTCCTTAGCTTGCCTGATTCGCGTACTGAGGAATACCAATTCTGCCTGCTAATATCCATTAATCGTTGTCTAAACTGTTCTATAAAAAGTTCCACATTTCCACATCCTTGGTTTTCCCACACTACTCCAAATCCATATGAATATAAAAGATGCTTGATGCCACTTGCCCATGTTTGTCTCCCACTACTATCTAAGTCAAACAGTAACTTGTAGCATGATTTCGGTAGCCTACCATCGTCCATACACAAAAGCTTGAACCAATACTTAATACATTTGACATGATAATCTATGTATAAAGGGTAACGACCACATTCCCCAATACAGAATGTGAGAAAAAAAACAATCCTCTTGAGACATTGATTATTAAAAAAAAAAAGCATTTTAGCAATTGCAACATGACTCTTCCCTTCATCTTTATGCAAAAGTCACATCTGTTCAACAAATTAATGCAACAAATGTAAGTCATAATTGACAAACAATCACAAAAAACATTGCACATACTATTTACCTTAACTTTATTAAAATAGATGATAGTAAGATTACAATCCATCCATTACATCCATTACAATTTTTCTTCTTTGGTAAAATAAAACAAGTTTTGCTACTAATTTGTTTAAAATGCTGGGTTTTGATTCTTTTACAAAAGGCTTTAAAATTTGGATGTAAAAATCAGCAAATTGCTTTGGACAGAGCATTTTGATTAGACAACATAATATTTTTTGCAACTTTATTAATATTAATACAATCAGGTCAGTAAATATAAAGATCTTCATTTGAATGAAATACACAATGTAGTTTAATTGATCAATCAGTTTTGTTTATAACAAACAATACAGGGGCAGGTTGAGCCATATTCAGGGTATTCTGGAAGATGGTCAGATTTTCAAGTTTACATGTACATACTGGGTGCAGTAGAGGGGGATCTTTAATTTTTTTCTTTTGGAAGACGGTTTAAAATGGAGGATGGATAAACAAAGATAATTAGGAAGACTGTCAGAAAATATCTCTGGATCTGCCCCTGCAGTATGATAAATAAATTCCAGATATTTTTAAAGAGTGTCATTTTGTGATACATAGGACCTGGAAATCAGATATCGCATTTTCCACAGCTTATGCACAATTTTAAATTATTTTTCTATTTTTCTATCTGCAAACAAGTTAATTGCTATACGTATGCCAGATAATTCATAGCCAGAGCTCATTTTCAGCGATTAGAGAAGAAATGACATGCAACTCAAGAGTGCATTCAGAAAAGTGGACTAACAGATCAGCAGAGCAAATATGGTGACCCACTAAAATGCTAACAGCTTAATTTTTGATAAGCCACTGACTAGATTACCCAAGCATTCAAGTGGATCAGCCATATTTGATCCCAGATCTGTTAGTTTGCTGTCATGAATGCACTCAACAGTATAACTTGCACTTCACATCAGCATCTGCTTTTCCAAAAAGGAACACTCCATCACATTTTGCGAGCAAGAATAATTTCCATTCAAGCATACTGTCACACCATACCATACTGATCAGCACAAAACATTCATTGGATAACAATGCTGATATCTTTATGCAGTCTAACTTTGCATCATACCCTAATTCGGAGACAAATCAACCATTTTACAGCTGTCATACATCATAACCAATTGCAACTGTCTTCAAACTCATCCACATCACACGGTCTCTGAGTCTGGGATTCTGTTCTTCTTCTCACATTCAATGCACTTTCCTACACCCTCACCCTGTGACAATTAAAAAATCCACCATTCACAGGCCCGCAATTTCAAACGGGGGGTTCTTTTTCTGAAAAAGTGGACCTTTTCTATAAAAACTTCATGTACCAAGCTCAAATTTTACCCAGAGTGGACCTTTTCCCAGCAAAAGGGGCGGTTCTTTCGAACCCCCCGACCCCCTGGCTACGGGCCTGATTCAAGACAAATTGAAGAGGAAAGGATGATGTGTGGGATTTTGGTGGAAAAGAAACATTTGCAATACATGCAATCCACCATTTTTTTTACATCTGTTCACAATATGCTATACTTATGATAAAATGTATTACCATTTATACATCCATGGTAATGCATTCTTAGATGTTTTAAGAAACCCATAATTAACTAGGTTTATGCTACCAAAAACATGTTTCTTAATTCAAAAATTGTTAAATAAAGAAAAAACAATCCCACAAACCATCCCTTTGTGTGTAAAACAAAAATAAAGCACTTTCACCTTTCCTATTGCACATCTTTGAATTGCCTCATTGAATCATGTAACACACCTTGAAGTAAAGACACTCAAATCTTAATTACAATTACGTATGGCTTACCTTTTAGTTCTGGGTATCTGACTCTCTTAGTCTTTGGATGTTTGTTTTGACTGTGACATTTATAAGTCTCAGTAGATACGATCAATGATAAATGAAATTATGGTAGGTCTGCAATTTTCCATTTAAGCTCTGCTTATGATGTTAAAATAGGTGTTCTATAGTGATTAACTCATTTAGGTAAAAAAAATCAACTAGACAGCAAGTCTGGCAAATATACAGACACTTAACAAAAAAAAAAAAAGGTAATTTCCATCAACATTAACAAGCACATTCCAGTAACACTTACTTTTAAAAAAATTGTAAAAAAGTTAAACAGAATTCAGTTTGGACGTATGGGGCAAACAAAGGTAAAATAAATGCAAAAAGGAAAAAGTCTACTTTTATAAAATAATATTAAAAAAGATATTAGAAAGGAACCTGCCTTTTTTACCAAACAAAGTCACATGATATGGTTTGGCAGTCAAAGGGTAAAAAACGGATAAGTCAGATGCATTGGCACAGACAAAAACAGTGATCAGAATAAATACAGATGCATGCAGTGTCTGTATATGAATATCTATCAAAATAAACATGTATGTCAATGAGTCAGTTTTTAACAATAGGTACATGTACGGTAATGCTGGACTTAAAATATGCCCAGTACTTGAAGTACGGTATGTTGCTTACCATGAGGGCGAGTCTGCTTTTATCAAACATTAACCTATATCACAACATACCGCAATAGTTTTTTTTTTTCAAAAATGAAGTCTTGTCTTAATAAAGTGTTTTTCAAATTTATGAAAAGATTGATTTAAATAAGGTAGTCATTGTAATTTAATTGATAGAAGAGAAAACTTGGTTTGATAAGCAGAAAATACTGCTAGGCATACCATACCCTGGGTATACATACCTATACAAGACTGGACTGTTGGAGTCCAGTGCCCAGACGGCAGGCATTTAAAAGTCTGACTGGAAATTGCACCACCCGATAGAAAATGGCCACTATTGCAAATGAATGCAACCACCGTTCCTGCCAGCCGTTGGGTGGTGTTTACAGTTGCTGTTGATCCGACTGGCAACATTGGGCAAAAAGTGTCTGAAGCACAAGTTGATATTTAATTATTATGTATTTTAATATCAGTTGTATTTATCCATGACTAAGCTATTTTTGTCTGACCTCTTAACTGCCAAACAATGTTTTTTTTTGTTTGTTTTACTTAAAATTAACAGGGGGGTTATAAGGTTGGGCAAAACTTTGGTCAAGTTCTACAACATTATCATGAATGAAAGTTCTGGCACCTATTTGAGATATTTGAAATTAATTAACATATATATACGTACCCTGTATATAGTGCAGATCAGGTTAATGAAGCAGAATAATTAGACAAAACCCAAGGTAACTTGCAGGTATTTTTTTATCTATCTTTAAATGAATATCAATTTTTGAGAGAGAAAATTTCACCCATTTCCTCTCTTACATGCACCATTAATTGGCTTATGTACATGTATGAACAGAATGGTGACAGATGTAGTGTTGGTATTTGAGTGATAAAATTAACAAAGGTTGTGATAATTAGACATAAAATAATTACTCAATGTTTTCAATGGGCAAAAATTATCAAACTTTCAGATACATTATATTATAATTTCAAAATTTTATTTCTATACAGCAATAGTGGTGCTTTCACTGCATAGAATAGAACTACAGAGTAGCATCCTTTTATTTCTGTCATAACCACTCTACCAGAAGCACGCTTTAATTTTAAGAATTTATGACATAAAATTTTTCCCCCATTGGAAAGATTGAGTAAATTACTGTACCTGTTCTGTACACTGCTGTCTTGCCAGTTCCCCCACACCACTGTGTTGTGTCACCACCAGAGCATGGTAAGTTGCAGGTTGCTGTATCCACAATTTTACTGGTGCTGTATGTCTGTCCACACTGACAGGTACTTCCCTCACTTAATCCTTTAAGTACATAGATTCTTTGTGTGAATTTTTGTTTATTTTAAATTTTTAGTTCATTTATTTATTTGTTTTGGTACTAACCCTTTTCATTAATTATTATTTTCATCATCAAACAAAATGAATGGGTATTGTCAATCAAATCTTTAGTTTATTTTTATTTTATTTATACATTATTTAAATTCACTGAACTCTTTCTACAAAATGTCAAAGCTCTTTTAAAGACACTAGCAACAGGGCATTTTTCTCAAGACACTTAAAGTATGCACATATTCTCAATATGCTCGACATGATATTTGTAACATAAGGTGATATGATTTTATAAATCAGTTAGGTATTAGTTAAAGTCAATTTAAATTGCAAATTTCCATACATACCAGCTAATGCATAGCCATTTTGTTTGCATTCTGAGATACATCTTTGTGTATAGTTATTTTCTGCCTGCTGTATACCAGCCAAACTCTGTGTGGCTCCTGTTCCATGTAGTCCACCATTACTTAATACACAGCCAACAAAGGTAGGGGCCTCTGATTGAAAGGTGCAATTTTAAATGTAAAAAATATTTAAAAAAAACAAGTTATGAATGATTGGTAATTTGATTATCTTGCAAATGAACCACAATTATATATATCACATTATAAATTCAATGTAAAGAACATGTCTGTTATTTAACATTAATATTTTGGCAATCAAAAAGTGACCAAGTCATTCAGATGATCAGTAAAGTTTTTGAGAAAAACCTGTGCAATTTTCCAATTCGGTGGTGTTCCACTGGGCCTCCAGAGAACAAGTGACCTCCTGTACCAAGCCATCAGAACCTTCTATCTGGTAGCCAGGATTGCAGTGGTAGCTGATTCTGGATGTGACAACTGTGCCTTCATCGAGCACAACTAACGCATTCGTCACTGAGGGCCTGCTGCCACAATGTTTAGCTGTGAAAGAGCAGTTTCATTTTAAATACATTAATAATTATTTATTATTCATCTTGCCAGTCTATTCTTATCAATTTAGCCAAAAGCAATTTTCTACTAAATTATCTTCCTGTGTACACAGCGAGTTATTTGGCCCCTTTTTTCAGGACAAAAGGGGAGATTCTAGATCAGCGGGGTACCATTAGCTTTGTAAGAGTCCTGTGGAAGGGATATACATGTATAGCTGGTCAACCAGGGGCAATGGAAGTAAAACACACATATATAGCCCTTGTATCCTTCAAATGGCAAAAGTGCACTTACGCTCACAGTGTACCAAAATATTGCTCCATGTCCCATCAGCCTGACAGGTGCTCTGTGTGAATACAGCTCCATTTGGAAGCTGATATCCATTATAACAAGTGTAGTTCACACGACTCCCATATCTGATGCCTCCTTGCACACTTGTGCTGTTTACAACTGATGGCTGAGTGGTTGTGCAATTCACAACTAAAATTGAATTAAACATTCATTTAATATCCCTCTGGTTTATTTTCATGGTATTTACTTGTTATCTTTCCTAGGAGAAATTCACCCAATTATTTAAAAATATCAAAGTGGTTATAACCATCATAAGAAAAATAGTCTACTCCAAAAAAGCCTTTTTTCTTCTTCTCGTGTGGCACGTAGATCTTAAACAGTCAAAATGGATGTTATCATAAAATACATATATAAATTAAACTTTACATTACTATCCAATTAGCAGGTGTCTCAAACACCTCTGCTCACCTCCCATGCTGGTGGTTTCTCTTGAAAAATGAACTTACCTTGGCAATCTGGGGGTGTCTGTGTCCACTGTATCTGTTCACATTGTATTGCTGTTATGTTCACTGCATCAGATGGAAATGCATATCCTGTATCACACTGGTACCCAACCACAGAACTATGGGTTCTGGAAGTGCTGTTTGAACTGGCGTGAGATACTTGTGGAATGGGAGGGCATTGAGAATCTGCAATACAGGTTTTAAATGGTCTAAGGTACAAATGAAGAGAATACAAAGTTAACATATTTTAAGGTTATCCTGTGTGTAGAACGTTCCTTGGATTTTTTGTTTGTCACCGCTTTTGAAACCTGTCATACAATCCCTACTAAAATGACACATTCCAATCATTTTAATTTGTTTGTTTCCAAAGGGTCCTTACTCCATTTCTGAATCAACAGAAAACCTGCTGCTTTTTGATGAGAATACCTACCCCATACTCTATACACTGATAGCATTCCTTCATCACCACAATATTGATTGGTGTTACCACTGCATTTTTGCTTACAGTAGCTGGATTCCTTGAGTTTACCAATTCTGCCAAGGCTGTTGCTACAGGAACAATTCCCTAGAAAATGTCACATTGTCAAATAGAAATCATTTCGAACATTACCTGCAAAAAGATCTTCAGCTTATTTTGGATTCCAACAGATTTTTAATAATTAAAATCATCTTTTTAATGCATCAAAAATATCTGATAAATTGAAATGTCATTAAGAAATTTTCAATATTGTCCACCAAAGAAACTCACCAACACTTATTCCAGCATAGATCATATCGAGGTTCTTGCAGTTATTGATGCATTCATCTGCTGTTGTGACAGTACCAGCAGAGATGGGCATTTCTGACAAAGCACCACTAGACTCTATGTAGCATCCAACGTAATCATCATTATCTAAATTAAAATAATAAAAATTATAATTTATATCTCCTATCAGAATTATGATTCAATAAGGATGTGATTATATCTGACTGCATTATATATGAATTGATAAACATGCAAGTATGGTGCAAATTTAGTTCTGTTTTTGTTGATACAATGTATATATTGATTACTTACAATTATCAATAAAAAGCTGAGAATTATGTAACGGTTTAAGCAAAAATATGACTTGGCACTTGCAATATTACTAGTGCTTCTGTACAAAAAGAGGTATCTGTATGTAAAAAGCACAAATTAACAACCCACCATCCATTGATTGAATGGAGCATCCAAGTACTTCTAAGCGCAATTCAGGTCTCCCATTCCAGGCCAGAAGATGTATACTTATGGCATCTGCTATGAATGGTGGTTGCATATACTGTGTAACCAGCCCATTCCAATCAGTGTTCCCTGACAGCTGAAATATTTTACTCCAATTCTCATAAGGTATGGAATATGCAAAACAATTGTTTTTAATGTTCAACAGTCATTAATGTACCCGAGCACTGTAGTATACATCAGGTACACTTATACAATATAATTTCTTGTAACTTCTTTTTAAAAACAACACAGACCTAAAATGTGACATAATACTTAATTTTCATGAGACCAGGTGTTGTTAAAAAGTACAAATGTCATTGTATCTCCATACCTCCAGAGTTCCATTGGAAGAATAGTTGTGCCACCCCTTTCCATCATTGTAGGTAACTCTGTATTGCGTTATCCAGTTTGTTGTAGTGGACTGTGTGGTATACCCCCCTAAGAGAAAATTGACATTTTTTTTTTAGCTTTCTACGCATCTGCTCAGTTCCCCACTATCCCTTCCTCCCTCCCTCATTTTTTTTCTCTCTCTCTCTCTCTCTCTCTCTCTCTATCTCCCCTTCCAAATTGTCTCCCCAACAGCACAAAAGTTAATCATTTTTATAGTTATTACCTGTTATAAAAACATTACTGTTACCCTACCTTGTGTGACAATCCCAGTCACAATGCGCCTGGTATTAAAGGTGAGCTTGACCCAGGGGGCACTATCAGAAGTATTTGGAGCCCATGCACCTTCATCATAAAGACTGGAAAAGTATATCAGATACCATTTATAAAAACCTGATTTCTACACACCTGGTGTGCTGCATAAAAAACCCATACAATTTCTTTTAAAAAAGGAAATTGATTAAGATCTACATGAAAGAAAAAAATTAATTTCTAGTGATATGATATGATTCAGGCATGCATCAAGAAAGGGTGGGGCGGGGATCCCTCTGCTCCATCTGCAGATGTATGTTTGCATTTACTAAGTATACTAAACATATATATGTATATATGATATGTAAACAAATCTTACTGAATGTTTTGTTTTTGAAAGTTGGCTTCTGCTGCTTCTGATGACACTTCTGCTTGACTGGATGATACCAGAGCCTCACTGCAGGGTTCTAATTCAAGTAAAGGTAAATTAGGAAAATCAAGGTCTGTCTTCGACCCCTTTCACATAAACACTATCAGACCAATACATTTCTGCGGAGAGTCTCCCTGAGTGCAATCAGCTTAACTGAATGACAGACCTCCTCTTCTTTCCAACATTCTCCTATAATCACCTGCAGCATTTCTGCATTCTTCTCAATGCCAGGAGGAGTCGTGCATTCAGTTAAGCTGATTGCACTTGGCGAGAGTCCCCACAGAGTTGGATTGATCTTACCTACAGGTAGATAGACCAATGGTGTCTTAGGGAAAGGGGCCTTACAGATTAAACTGATGATGAATTTAAACCAATAAATAATTTCTAAAATGGCAGATACTCTAATGTAAACACATATCAATTAACAAGTTGCATTAACTATAGATCTATATTTAGTTGACAGCAATCACAAAGTTTCAGAATATATTTCAAGCATGTTTTTTTTTATGTTTCAGACATACCCATGAAGCATTCCACCCTCAAAGAAACCTCTTTCCCATCAGGGCGTATCCAGTATTTACCAGGAAGAACCACACCTTGACTTTTTAGAGATTCACAAGATAACGCTTGGAAGTGATACATTGCTAGGGAAATGAAAAAAATTTTCGTAACACCAATGCAATAACATTGCTACCTTGGCAAATTCAAAGAAAGATCTTATGAATGTTAATTAGCCGTTTACCTGTTCCTATAAACTTACCTGAGCATGATAAATGATTAAAAAATGAGTTTTTTATTCAGAGAAATTTAGACATATTTCATTTTGTTTTACTGTATAAAAAAAGGAAAACAATTCATTCTCTAACTTAAGGTATCCACCATCAATACTTACGGCCTATAAACAAAAGGGCATGATTGGCACCACCACAGTTTTCCAGGGAATTCCCAGTACACGTCTGCTCACACATCATTTCATCTGCTTTTGCTAAATCATTATAACTCGTTCTACAATAGCAGTGAGTGAGGGACAAAGCAACTATAGGGTAATCAAGTCCCCGACAGTACTCTATACACTGTAATGCTGACATCTGTTTATTACTGGTTACTTCTGCTTCGGAGATTGGCGGTTTCTGGTAGCATCCCAGGTATCCTTGAAAACAAAGTAGAAAAATGGATTAATATCTGAAACCTCTATTTACAATAGCCTCATTTTGAAGAGGAGCATGTCACAAAGTTAAATCTTAACAAAAGGATTAATTTTTGTTGTACATGTTTTTTCTTTTGTAATTATGACATGAACTTTTAAAACCATGTACATGCATGCATGTATGTGTTTAAAATAAAAAACTATATTTGTTAAAATCTGTTTTTTTTAAATTTAATCTAAACAATATAGATTGATTGCTTATTTTTTTCCATAAGAACTTACCATAATTCTTTTGACAGATAAAAGAGGAAGCCGTGTCATTAAAATCCTGCAGTAAATATCCACTACCCTGTGACATAACCATGAATTGGCTCCAAACATCAGATGGTTCATTGGTATCCATGATACCTGTAACATCTACGAAGGAGCCATCAACACTGCGATAAACATTTAAAGAATATGGATCGTGTAAGCCAACCAGCCATTTTGAAATTGATGAGTACTCTGGTAAAGTGGAGAGGATGTTCTCAAGGTGACTCTTCATGCCAGCGTCTGCTGGTACAGCTATGTAACCACCATCTTCCAAACATTTCCTTCTGGCTTCAGATGGAGAAACTTCTGTTGAATTGATGATAAAGCAGTTGCCCCAGTACCCATAACCCCAAGGACTGGTGCACTGTGTTTTATCTGCCAGGTCTGGAGAGAACAAACATTTCATAACAATAAGCAGTTGCCTTCTTACGAGGCAAAGCATAGATACAAATATTTCCATAATACTATAGAAAACTACCATGAAGAAAAGATTATTTACAATATCGTCATCACAGTTTTTGTCATTTCATAAACCTTTTTTGAATAGTTTCTCTTGATTCTGAGGTTCTGATAAAGAAAAAAGGGTGACACTTAAATTTAAGTCTCTAAAATGATTGACATACATGCACATGTTGGTGGATATCCATCCCAAGTAAAGTTTGCCTGACATGTGAGTCTTAGAGATCCATTGACAACCTCATAGCCTGGGAAACAACCATATGTGACATCTCCTCCTATCTGGTAACCCCCCACTGTTTTTGTGGCATTCACCCCCTCACCAGGGTCACTACATCCTAGAGTATATATCATCAAAATATTCCATATACATAATGTCTCTCAGGGAGGTTACAAAATATTGTTAATCACTATATCTTATACATTTAACTGCATGAAATACTTAGAACTTGTTAGAAAATGTTTGTTCAACTTAATGGGGATAATTATTCCTAAACAAAATTTAAGTTTCAACCATAAAAATTAGATATTTCCCTTACGGTCACACTCCAATGGTGCCCCTCCTGTCCACTGTCCAGTCACTCCACAGGTAAAGCTTATATTCCCTGTACTCTGTGAATAACCAGCATCACAAGTGTACTGAACCTCCTCTGAGTTCCTATAGTGGGTTTTCACTGGGCTGTAAGAGGCCATGGTACCATTGGGTGGAGGTGTGCAGCCTGAAATAGCATAAATTGCCATAAAAATGTTCTCATTTTAAAAGAATATATATTAGGTCAAAGATTTCAAAGATACTAAACATCCTCATCCTTTAACTAATATATGTATATCTGTTTTAAGTTCTGTTAATATGCAGAAACTGTGTGCAGATCGAGAGCCTGAAATTTTGCTAAGGGTTACCATATCCTGAAACTTACAGACGGATGACCTAAAAGTGACAGCTAGGAGTAAGAATTAATAGAAATAGTGTTATGTTCTTAAAGAAATTGGCTCTGTATACATGTCTGTCTCATAGATATATTCATGATCAACATACCACAGGCTGCATTTGTTATTGTTATATCATCAATAGCAATAGAGCTGTCATCCACCGTGGCACCTGATGCTTTTATTCCTTCAAATATGACCTGAAATTGTGACAAAATTAGGAACAGCAATCTACACTATGATCTGAAGACAATCACATGATCCAATGACGTGATGTAGTTAATCCCTATAACAATTCATAAAAAGTTCACCATTGTGAATTGTCAAAATTGACCATATCAATTAAGCTTGTTCAAACTTATCTCTGTCTCACCTGGAATCTCTCTGTAGTGTTTATGAGGACATCCACATGTCTCCACTGATCTTGACTACTGTCGTCATGACTCCATGCTGTATATATCTGGCTGCTGCCATTTATCTGGTATTTCACATTGAACGTCACCAAATGAGATCCAAATGCATGGTACTCAAAGCTTACAGTGGCCTGGCAGTGTTCCTGGGAAATGTTTATCCATGGGGATCTTATCCTTGCTATGGCTTGTGAAGAAGCAGTCTGCAAAATCATATTGTCAACATACAGGGGTATTTCTTCCAACCAGTAAAGATTTTTTTTAAATCAAAGTAAAAACTTACTTTATCTATTTATAAATAATAATAATAAGCTCAATTTTTCCCAATCAAAACATTTAAGAACTGATATCATTACAAATTAGAAAGAATATATCATATCAAAGATATATAGATATCAATAATATTATGTAACCCCCTTCTTCCCTGCCTTACCCCCCCCCCCCCCAAAAAAAAAAAAAAAAAAATTATAATAATAAATTGCTGAAAGAGGCACAACCTGATATCTGGGTTCCAGCAGGTAGTAGAATCCATCATTCCCTGTGTGGTCTGCCTGTGGCCCAGTGCTACTCCTCCCTGGAGCTTCTCTCTTATAAAGAGTCCACTCCAACTCTTCATCTTTATCCTGTGTGAAACCACAGTTATCACTGTCAAATTGAAAGGATGCTGGGGTGGACACAACTGAAATGGAAGACCATAAAAGATGATGTGAAAATAACTGATCTTGACCATTGATAAGCTGAGGCATGACTTTGGCGAATTCACTTTGCTTATGTGGAGGGTGCAATATGACTGATCTGGACCTCCCAAGGCAAGAGAGTGGTTTGCCTTCTTTTTTTGTTTTTCTTTCAACAATATTTGAGTTATTATTATTCATGGTTTGGTCTTTCAATAATGGCTGAGATTCATCATGAAAATATCATTGAAATATAGCACATAATCATAATCTTTGTCAACAAAGAAAACATTTGTATAAGTTATAATACACATATACTCTCTGGTTCCATACGGTTTTGAACATTAGTACAGGGTGGAAAAATGCTCAAAATCTAGTAATAGTATGGTCCCAAATAAACATACAGGGTGGACATTTGGAAATTGACCAATAAAGAACCAGAAATCTATCACTTGATGTGAGTGTGACTGGATGTGATTGCTTATGTGTCCTGAAATGCACTGCTGTCACAATCTAGAGTAAACACAGGGCATCCCCATGGTGGATCTCGCTTGAGTGTTAAAATGGGTCAATATACGTGGTGCACAAACAGGTCTGGGGAAACTTAATTGTTTTTTTAATAGTGTGCAGTCTGGAATAAGGCTGTGCAGTGTGTAATTTTTGGTACAAATACCTGAACATGCGCGGCAATTAGGAGCCAGAGAGTACATGTTAATGTTCATACTCAGGGCACTAACAACTACTCAGTACACACACAAACACAGCAGAAAATTACATTATGCTGTACTTTAGCATACCTTCTATACAGTTGCCAGGCACCTGAATCACTCTGATACCATCAATAGCTATATCTCCACCAGTTCCAGATCCAGCAATACCATTAAACTGAATCTACAAAAAGAATGTACCCGGTAGATGTTTATTTTTACCTTTTGGTATATTACAAGATGTTTGGTATCTAATCAGGAGGAGACATGAAAAATTGTTCTATATACATGTATCAAGCCTTGAAAAAATATACAGAGGGTGAAAAATATTTTGCTTGTTTTAATAATATGAAGGTTTAGAAAATCTATACAAGCAAACAAGAAGAAAACATATAATTTCAGTCAATTTCTCAACTATTTTGTTTTGTTCATATACAGAATCACTCTATTTGCAAAAGGACTAAGACTGAAAGTGTTTACCAAAATAATTAATAAATGGGTATGGGCAGTAAATCAAATGGATTCATAACCGTATATATATATATATATTTGACAAACATTAGGCATCCAAACAGACAAACAAGCTTGCAGACAGAGAGACATAAACAGATGGAAAGACAGACAGGCAGACAAACATACTTTAAAATGAGTAATTCCAGATGGTTGTAGGATCCATGCATATTCCTTCCATGCATTCTGGACCTCATTTAGATGGAAAAGTTTCATATTTCTGTTGAAAGTCGACTGTCCAGATTCCTTTTCAAGTAATATTACAGTCAGTGCATTGACATTACCACCATATATGTGTGCCCAGAATCTCAAAGTCACTAATCCACACTGATGAACCTCAAGATCGGGGGTCTCCAAAGTAGCTATGGCACCATTTGACTAAAAGTTGGATAAGTACATACATGTATTAGGTATCTTCAATAAATCAGTTATATTGTAGAATTTTTTCCTAACATGTACATGTATTACAATATAACTAACAAACAGATGTCAGTTCCAGAGCAGAAAAACGGTATATTTTTTCTCATAATGCATGATAAATTTGGTACACATACTTGTCCATCTACTTCAATATACAAGTAATGTCCTATGCCTTCTTTTGTTATAGGGTCAGCAGAAGGTCCAGTGCTTGCCGTAGGAGTGGGTCCGCTCTTCAAAGTCCAGTCAAACTGATCTGATGTGAGCTGATTAAAGTTGCAAATGGTGGAGTTCTCAAAGTCACAGCTGGTTTCGTATGGTAGACCTGAAGATGGTGGGGCAGAGATGTTAGACAATAAAAAAATGAAGCAAAAAAAAAAAAAAGAAATTCCCATCATACCTTGCTCATACATGTTCCTTGTAGTGCAGTGAAAATTAAAATTAAAATTTAAATCATTCTTATAATATTTCTTATGGACAAATATTTGTAAATCAAAAACCTGAAGTTTATATGCTATCATTCCTTACATAAACATAATAAACAGATTGAATTCTTTACCATTATTATCATCTCCTTTCACTTGTATTTCACACAGATTCATTATTTCATTGTTTCCTTCTATCTGAATGGAGACATATCTGCCCGCTAGTGGACTGGCACAAGTAAAAGTGTCAGTAGCTCCCCCTCCAGGCCATGTCCCAGTAAAGTTAGAACACCAGTTCCAAGTGCTAGAGTTATGTCCTCTGTCGATGTCAAACTCATCACTCACAGTTATTATGAAGTCATGAAGACGGTCATCTGGAACACAGTTTTTGTCAGGTAAGATACCATGAGTATATGACATAATAATAATAATAATAATAATAATAACATCAACAACAAACAAATGGCTTTGAGGTTGATGGAGTGTAAAATAAGTTGTAACCCTACCAGCAGGTCCAATTATTTTTAGATTTTTTCAATACATCACGATTTGAATTCTCAAAAAATGTTTTTAAATGTACTAAAAAAAAAAAAAATTCTTGCAACAAATTCACAATCATGCTTTGCTTACCTTTTCAGCAAACAATTTAAGCAATTGGTATGTGCATAGTTCAACTTACTGCAGCAGTCCCCTCTTCCTGTAATAGTTACAGTGGTTATAAAGGTGTATCTCTGAAGATCTACTACAAACCATGGGTCTGTCATAGCATTAGATTCCCAGCAGGATTTATGTGAATAAATTGGATCTAGGAGTCCATCTAAAGCTTGATAAGGTGAAACTGCATTTGTGCTACCAGCAAATGCCTCTTTTCCAAAAGCAAGGTTTTCACCTGAAATTAAAAGTCCATAACTGTGCATCTGTCTCCTCCATCCCAGTACTAGTGTACCATTAACTTTTATAGTCCCATTCATTATTGTACTTTAAACTGAATCCAAAGTACAGTACATCATCATCATCATCACTAAATATCTATTGCCACAAAAATGTTGCAATTTGTATTATAAATACATTTAATTTGATTGAAATTTTAATTAAATTAAAATATGTTACTAGATTATTCACATTTATTATATCTTTCGTATAGTTTTAAAAATATGTTTGCTTTTTTCCTCTATATTACAATGCAAGAAAATGACAGTCATTGAGCATCTCTTAAAATATATACCAAATGCAATCTGCAAAAGATATTATCAGTATTATAAGGCAGCTAAGGCATGCACTTCAAAGACTGAATGGAATGCAACAATAATGAAATTGCATAAAAAGAAGACCAAACAATAGCAGAAAAGATGTATGTTAATTATTTTGGCTCCATTTTGTTTTACTACTGAGTTATATTAATTAAGTTAATTCCTTTTACTAGTAGATCTGACAGTAATTCCTTAAAATTTTCAAAATCCCTCGCTTTTTGTAATATCTATGCAATTCTTAATTTTTTCATACACCTGTATATACTTACAGTTCATCTGGGTTAAAATGTTCACATCATCTATAGCACAATCGGATCGATGATCATTTCCCCTCTGAGCTTCAAAAACAATCTGAAATTTGAAGAATATGGCATAAATATAAATTCTATGGTGACAGTACATGTATTATTCTTCATGTGACTTTGAGGCTTTGATTTAGTCTGACATATATTCCCAAAGTACATGAAACATAATGCATTATTTGTTTCAATTTCCTTTACATCTATATCACATCTTATATGGTATATACTTAAAGATATCGGTATATAATGAATTTTCAGCATCATTACCTGAAACTTGATATTATTAAGAGGTAATAGTAATAACATGGATTTCCATTTGTCTTCTGAACTGCCTCCTTGTGACCAAAGTAGTTTGTCATTGCTACCATCATCCAGGTGATAATAAACCCGTAAGTCACCAAAAGCACCAAAAGCATGGTACCAGAAATTCAAAGCAGCCGCACAGGCACCAGTTGAGCTAAGGTCAATCCAAGGTGTTCGTACTCGTGCTATTGCTCCATTGGGCTTAAAACAAAGATCAATGAAATGAACTGAAATGATACATGTACTAATTAACTTGAAAGGTGCATGTATTATATTGAATTCAGGAAATTTTTTGGGATACCAGTATTTACGCAATTCTGACTCATCCCTTTCTTTCCTTTGCTTTACTTATACTGTAGCACCCTCCAATAATGGAATGAAATCAACAGTAATTAAAAAGTTACATAAACTGTTCTACAAATATTACACAAAATGTGTACATCAGTGACTGTCACAAAACTCAAACTAAAAGTTTGCAGCAACTAGTTTGCAGGAGTTTGCAAGAAAAAATTGTATTGCTACTAATTTGCAACAAATTTGCAATAACAACTGAAGTTTGCAGTAAGTTTACAAGAAAGTATTCAAGTTCATGCAAATTTGCAAAATTATGCTGCAAATTCCCAGCAAATTAGCAGCAAACTTGCAGCGAATTTGCAAGAATTTCTTGCAAATTTGCAGCAAATTTATAGCCAATTTGCAGTGAATTTGCCAGAGAGTTTGCAGCAGGCCTGATATATGCTAAGGGGTAGCATTCACAACAAAGTTTACCTTCAGACTATACCTGATAACTATAGTCTGCATATCAAATAATTAAGGCATGCACTTGACAATGGATTCTTGCCTCCCACACACACAGCATCCCAGCAAGAGCAAAGTAATTAAATTTTGTCATGGTTTGGAGTCAGTGGTGCCATACTTGATCTGCTGATCTGTCAGATCTACTTGTTCTGAATGCCCCCTTTTAGGCTCTATTCCCATAGATTTTAGATTGATCTATCCCCGCGGGGAGTCTCACTAGATTACTTTCAGATAATCCGACTTAAATGTCTGTCCCGCCTACTACAAGCTGTAAGAGGGTAATAAACTTTTGTGTCCGCCCGGCTGACAGCTATTTATCGTGAACCCCCAGGGAGTTAGGTCGATCTAAGAAAGGTCGATCTAATCTATGGAAATGGGGTGTTAGACTAAGTTTGAAATTCCACTTACCTGAGGTGAAGGGTCAGTCCCCTCCAAATAGAAGAAATAACCAGTTGTATCTGCCATATCTGTATAATCTCCACTAGGTCCAGTGCCAGTGCTCACAGTCCGTCTTGTAGACAGGAAGAAGTTTGTATCGTCATCCCAATCCTGCTCAAAGCCACAAACCCCATCTTCAAATGTACAGCTGAACTGTGTCAATGCTAAAACAAACCATAGATACTGTGCAAATAAGTGGTCTCTGTCAGAAGAAACATGAAAAATGATACCCAACTTAATAAATCAATCAGTCAACTGAGCACATGCTTAAAACAGAATTGCCCATTAAATACCCAGTAGCTGCTTCCAACATAAGATAATTATTCCATCTATTGATTATAACCACCTTATACCCCGGTCACATTAGAGGTGAAATGAGCTAAAATGTAGTCTGAAAGAAAATTCCTTGTTTATTCCTGGATATTACATGTAGAAGTGCATTCTTAAAATTCTGAGCGCATTTCAAATGTATGGGCCCATTCTTGCATCCAGTCCGAAAGTTTTTCTCATGGCATGATGCTAAAAACTTTCGAAGTGCATTCCACGTGGAGAAATATCGAATGGCATTTCAGGCCCGTAGCAAGCAAATTCAAAAGGGGGGTTCTTTTTCTGAAAAAGTGGATCTTTTACAATGAAACTGAAGTGTACCTAGGTCAAATTTTACCCAAAATGGACCTTTTCCTGACAAAAGGGGCGGTTCTTTTGAACCCCTTGAACCCCCCCTGGCTACGGGCCTGCATTTGAAGTGTATTCTAACTGCACTATGAGTGCATTCTTAATATTCTTATGACATTCCAATAACATTCCAAACATTTTGATCGCATTCGAGAGAGATGGCCAGATTTTCAAGTTTACATTGATTAGTATCCAATTTTTTTCCATCGGAAGACGGTCAAAAATAGAGGATGGATCAACAAAGATAATTTGGAAGACTGTCAGAAAATATCTCTGGATCCACCCCTGACAAGCTTAATGAAAAGCCAATCATACATGTTTTCTATTATCAGAAAACAAGAACAGTTAATTTATTCAATTATCATTGACCTGAACATGTATATGATGTTTACATAAGTCATTTTAAAGCAGGGCAGACTTCCATGTATGAATATAGATTACTCAGTCAGATTACTATTTTGATTGCCTTTCAATTTATTAATGAAAACTGGTCAATTTTAATTGGGGTTTGCATAAATATGCTTTTTAAAGTAGCCAATTACCAATCAAACTAGATATAGCATTTGTAACTGATCTCTTTTATCAAATCTTGTAT